ATGAGCTGAGACTTGCCAAGAATATCAAGAGCAACAAAAAGGGCTTCTTTCAGCATGTAAATAGGAAGAGGAAGGGGAGACAAGTGGTGGGACCACTAAATAAGGAGGAAGGAGATCCAGTGACTGATATGAGGGAACAGGCACGGATGCTAAATGACTATTTTGCCTCTGTGTTCTCCCCAAAGCAGGACGGGGGAGACCTGCATAGGAGATTAGATGAAGCTGGGGACTCAGGGGCACAGATTAGAGTCACTCCCTAGAAGCAGAGGGGCTCCTCAGGGCATTGGACATTACAAAGGCACCAGGCCCTGATGGGTTACACCCGAGAGTACTTAGAGAGTTGCCAGGGGTTCCCTCACGCCCGCTGGCCTCCATTTTTGAGACCTCGTGGAGAACGGGTGAAGTTCCAGAGGACTGGAGGGTGGCATCTGTGGTCCCCATTTTCAAAAAGCGTAGTAGAAAGGACATGGGGAATTAGAGACTGGTTAGCCTTACATCCATTGTAGGAAAAACAGTGGAAGGCTCATAATAGAGATCGATCTAGTGATGCTAGATAGGGAAGGGAGGCTGACAGCCACACAACATGGCTTCCGCAAAAACAGGTCCTGCCGGACAAACCTTGTGGAATTCTATGACAAGGTTTCGAGATGGCTAGATGGAGGGGATGCAGTGGATGCGGTATACCTGGATTTCAGCAAGGCCTTTGACGAAGTGCCCCATGATATCCTGGTGGAGAAACTGAGGAGTTTTGGGATACACCAAAGCACTGTCCGGTGGATTAGGGCATGGTTGACTGACCGAAAGCAGAAAGTAACCAGTAGCGGGGAATCATCAGGATGGTGGCTAGTAACAAGCAGGGTCCCCCAGGGCTCTGTCCTGGGGCCGATCCTGTTTAAGCTTTTCATTAACGACAAGGAAGAAGGGGTGAACAGTCTGCTGATCAAATTCGCAGACGACACTAAAACTGGAGCAGTGGCCACAACTGAGGAGCAGGTACTCCAGAGCCAAAAGGATCTGGACAGACTATGGAAGTGGGCAGGAGACAACAGGATGGCGTTCAATGTGGATAAGTGCAAGGTCTTGCACTTGGGGCATAGGAATAGCTGTCATAAGCACAGGTTAGGGGACAAGTGGCTGGAGAGCAGCACTTGTGAAAGAGACCTCAGGGTACTGGTTGACTGCAGGCTAAACATGAGTCAGCGGTGTGATGCGGTGGTCAAGAAGGCGAATGCCACCCTTAGTTGCATAGCCAGAAGTGTGGCTTCTAGATCGAGAGAGGTATTACTACCACTCTACATGATTCTGGTGCACCCACAACTGGAGTATTGTGCTCACTTTTGGGCCCTTCATTACAGGAAGGATATAGCCAGGTTAGAGTCAGTGCAGCGTAGGGCCACAAGGTTGGTGGCCGGTTTGCAGGGGATGGGGTACGAGGCGAGACTGAGGGAACTGGGTCTCTTCAGCCTGGAGAAGAGGACACTCAGAGGGGATATGTTGGCGGCATACAGGTATGTGAGGGGATGTCACATGGAGATGGGTAGAGACCTGTTCTCCCCTGCAGAGGAAAGCAGAACGCACTCCAATGGAGCAAATCTCAGGGAGCCAAGGTTCACTTTAGATGCCAGGAAGCACTTCCTGACAGTTAGGACCCCGAGGGTGTGGAATGGGCTTTCACGGGAGGTTGTTGAGGCCCCAACAGTGAGGGTGTTCAAAGATAGGCTGGGCATGCATATAGTGGGCATGTTGTGAGAGGTGGCGGCTGGAGCCAGGGGTCAGACTAGATGGCACAGGAGACCCCTTCTGACTAGTTCTGTTTCTATGTTTCTATGTTCTCTCTCTCACACACACCCAATTAGAATGCCTTCCCTTCACCTTGGTCACTACATCACACCAACTCTCAGAATCTATATTTTACACACCATACATTTTCCCATTTGCCACACCTGTATACCCCAAATGCGGAATTTCAGAATTCCATGCTTTCCTGCATAGTTCTTACTGGAGACCCAGTTCCCAAGTGCTTCAGATTCATTCAGGATGCAGTCTTAAGTACAGATAAATCAGAAAGACAGACTAACAAAGTAATTAACATATATTTTCTGCTAAACATTTCAGATTTTGCCCTCATCAATAGCTGTGAAGTTAAACAGATGTCAAGAACAGATGTCTGGAATGCTGGGAAGGAAAAATCCTTCAAAAATGACCCAAAGGTGAGAGTGGTTGGGAGCTTATGCATTTCTCTGGATT